TGTGTAAAGTTTATCCACCAATACATCAACATTGTAGGAGCAATAGCCAGCCAATGAGGCCAAATAGAAATGAAGGGGATTCAGATGGTAAACATAAGGTTGTGTGTGTGTGTGTGTGTGTGTGTGTGTGTGTGTAAAGTTTATCCACCAATACACAAATTTATTTATGCAGAAATGTTGGTGAAATGTATTTAAAAAGCTGTTATAACTAATAAGCTAATAAATGTGCTTAGAAATGTCCAGGACCCAAGGTTAATATACAAAAATTAAATGTAGCAATAGTAGTTATCAATAGTAAGAAAGATCAGTAGGAATATAATTTGTGATATGATCATATTATAAAATACATAGAGACAAATTTGACACATATTATCGTTATCAAGGCCAGTAAGCTGAAAACGAGGAAACATTTCTGTGAGAATTTAAATAATAAATAAATGGAGAGAAATAAATCATGTTTATAGATTAGGAAGTGGGTTTGTCACTTGGGCCATCCTGACAAAGCATCCCAAATGAGGACCACGTTGAACATAAGCTGATATTATAAAAGTTCACTATGAATCCAATGTCATTTCTCCACATAGATTATGCACATTCTAGTGAAGATAGCAACAGGCAAGTTGTTGTTATTGTTTTGTGTTGTTGAATGCCGGCAAGTCAGTTCCGACTCACAGCAACTGTGATGGGTTCGGGTGAGGGAGAAGCCTGATGCCATTTCCTTCGCTGTGGCCTTGTGTGTACGAGAAAGGGACTGAGCAGATTTGAATTCGCTTTGGCCCTTTGCCTTCTGCTGGAGCGGACTCTTCCTTCCGGTTCCTCGATTTCCTGTTGGGTCACCTGCCCATCCCAGGAGCTATCAGAGGACTACCGATGTGGATTTCTTGGTTGACTTCTTATTTATAACTACCTTTGCATCAGCCAGCCTGTGCCCCTCCTCCCCACCCCACTATCTCTTCTTCATCATCCTGTTTCATCCGTTTCCATGAGACAGGAGAAGCCCTGACCTGAACTGTACTGGACTTCCCTATTTCTAAACTGTGTGAGTCCTTTCTTGATGAGAATTTCTTTCTATATGCATCACATACAAGTGTCACTAGTTTAGCGTCTCTGGAGAATCCAACGTAATACAGCAAGCCCTTGCACAACACACTGAAGTACTGTGTCGATCCTGTGCTGTGTCCTCACAATTGTTATGGCTGAGCCCAACGTTAAAGCCACAGCTGGGTCAATCGATATTGTTGCAGCCTTTCTCGTTTCCATTCACCTTCCCCGTTACCAACCATGATATCCTTTCCTGCGTACTGATATCTTCCAATAACACCTCAGAAATACATGAGAGGGAGTCTCACCACCCATGTTTCTAAAGAACATTCTAGTTGTTCTTTGTCCAAGATAGATTTGTTTGTTCTTCCAGCTGTCCATGGTACTTTTACTATTTTTCACCAGTACCATAATTCAATTCTTTTGTGATTCTTCTTCAGTTTTCCAGAATCAATGTCCAACTTTCACTTGCATAGCAGGTGGTAGAAAACATCATAGTTTGGGCCAGGTACACCTTAGTCCTCAGAATGACATCCTCGCTTTCCAGTACTTTAAAGAGGTTTTGTGAAGCACACTTTCTCAATACAATGGGTCATGTATCTCTTGACTGCTGCTTCCATCAGCCATTGGTTGTGTATTTATGCAAGCTGAGTCTCTTTATAATTTAAATAGCATTGTCTAGTTGATTCTAGATATGTGGAAATATCAAGGATCTAGAGTAACCAAAAGTAGCATATTAATAAATGGAGAGAAAATAAGGAATTCAAGTATTTCATTTTACTTGGGTCCATAACACCTATCAAGTGGTTAATTTCATTAAGTCAACTGAACTAAAACAAGGTGCCCAGTTGTTTAGTATAACATTAGTCCATATGGTTCCACAACGTCATTTGCATATGATCAACATTTAAATCAACTGACATTAAGAAAAAGAGATTACCCATGATAATGTGGAGTTGATTTCCATCTAATCGGCAGCAGTTAAGAAATCAAATGGC